TAATGCATTTTTTTTTGTTCTAGCGTTAAGAGATTCTTCGGATAAATCCACATATTAATTATATATAGGGTCCCAAAAAGATAAAGTGTCATAGAAATCAACTTTGACTCTTAATATAGTAATTAATTCCAGAAAATAACTTTTAATACAGTCTGTACCCTTTAATCTAAGTTAAAAATAAAAGTAGAGTCAACTTAAATGTCGGAAAAACTAAAATCAGATCAAGATCACAAGCTGCAATCTTTTCGTGTGTATGAAACTTAGCATACTTAAAGAATGAGATAGAATAATCAATGATAGGTCCATATGAGGCCACGTGAGTTTGCTTCTCTTTACCCACCCTTTTTAACGTAATCCTCGCAATGGAGTTTTCATATAGATTCCTATATTTTTATATCGCATATGTAATATAGCTTAATTCTTTTTAATATAAAATTCTTTTTAATATAAAAGTGAAGCTATATATTAATTGTTTCTTATAAAATAGGTGTTGGAGGTGGGAATAATAGTACACTCAGTGGTAATAGGAATATCACTGGGTGCATCACAAAGTCCAGACACTGCCAAAGCTCTCTTTGCTGCTTTAATGTTTCATCAATGCTTCGAAGGTCTTGGCCTTGGTGGTTGCATCGCTCAGGTACTTTAGTTATACATTCTTCGATTTTTTTTGTAATATAGTATAATTAAACATTAATATGATAAATATGCCTAGGGACGGCTCAAAAAAGGCTAAAAATTTTTTGGGTCTTGTGCAAAAATTTTAATTTTTTTTAAAAAATGGTCTATATTTACTTAAATCTAAAATTTTAAGCCCTTTTATATATAATTTTAATAATTTTTGGATTCTAAATTACAATAAAAATTAACTAAAAAAATAGACTATGTGCAGTTGCACACTTTGCATACCCTCACCCTCGGAACCTCTCATAAATATACCATAAGGTTGGATAGTATTCATTGATATTATCCATTGAATTTTAGGTAAAATGTTGTTTTTATTTGTGTGTCGTCCATCTTTGCGGCTTTCTTTGACTCATCTCCCCTTGCAAATTCCAAAACAGTGATTGCTCTTCTTCTTTTTCAACTCTTTGTTACGCACATATTTGACTTGTTTACTTAGATACTTTCATATTTATATATCATCACTAAATTGCAATTTTTTAAAAAAAATGTACAAAAGTTTGTCAAGGACATATGTGCATCCAAGAGAAGTTAGTCAACAAAACTAGCTAACATGATAGAATCATTTGGTTGATTGAATCTCAAAGTTTCTCTTAATATATGCATCTCTAATAATTTGTATTCCATACATTGCAGGGGAATTTCAATTGTATGTCAATCACAATAATGTCAATCTTCTTCTCCGTAACAACACCG